CCAGCTCTCCGGGATCCACCGCTATGAAATCTGCAGCAGCACCAGATAAAACCACATCCATGTGGGAACGCTGCCCCGTGCCCAAACTGAAGCCTGGCTCGTTCTGCATCTCAGGGGGGTGACTTTAACCAGTCCCTGCTGTGGGATGGGCGATGGTGGCCTCCAAGCCCCTCAGCCTGGCAGGGGGAGCTGGGTGCCCTGAGCACAGCACCCCAAGGTGCTGGTATGTGTGGGGTGGCCCTGGTGCGTGCCAACACGTGTTGGTGTGCCTCGAGCCCCACCACGTACAGTGACCAGAGGAGCCCAGGGTTGTGCTGCTCCACTGCAGCATCTGTATTGCAATTAATCATTGTGTGGCAGTAATTACGTGTGTAGTAGCTAATGATGCAGTAGTAATAATGCACCGAGGAGGGGACACTCCAGCTATTGCACTGGACTGAGGGGGTTTTGAGTGCATCTCTGTTGGTTGGATGCTTAAAGACAAGCTCAGCCCTCGCTCGGTGCTGCTGTGACACCCATCCTGGCCCTGGCGCGGGGTCCTGCGCTCCCCGGCCACCGGCCCTGGCCCAGGAAGAGCAGTTCCACCTGCACAAGCCGGGTGTTGTCGGAAGCGGGACCTGAGCTGCGGGACCCTGGGGCAGGGGATGGCTGGTGGCCTTTTGGCCCTGCTCAGACCATAGGAGCACACGGGCAGGTAACTGGGTGCTGACACTGTGCCCGGGTGCTGGAACCCATCCTGCTGTCCCGCAGCAACCCGCTGGCGCTGATGCTGACGGGGGTGCTGGTGTCCGCCGGCATGCTCTCCATCATCTTCTTCATAAGCGGAGGGAGCCACTTCCAGGACCCCCTCTTCTGCGGTGAGTCCCCCCTGGGGTGTGGGGACTGATCCCGTGCCTGCCAGGGAGCGGAGATGTGGGATTTGGGAAGCGCCGTGGGATGTGCTCAGAGCTGCCTCCTCTCCTGCAGTGTTTGTGGTGTTCTCCTTCACCTCCATCGTCGACCTGATCATCTCGCTGGAGGAGGATGGCTACATCTCTGGCTTCATGGAGGTCTACGTCAGAGAGGTACCACCTCACCCCTGAGCAGATGCTGCTCCTGCTCCCGAAGCTGCTCCTGCCACTGGGCAGCATCATGGGGAGGGGGCTTGGGAAGGTGCTTGTCCCCATCCCGTGCGATCCATTCTGTCCCACCGGGCAGGGTGAGCCCTATCTGCGCACGGCGCACGGCATCATGATCTGTTACTGGGATGGAATCATCCACTACGGGCTCTACCTTGCCATGATCGCAGCCATCGGCCAGAGGTGAGCAGGGAGGCAAAGTGGCTCCAGTGCCTGCGTGGTATCCTCATGGATACAGAGCTCGGAGGGGCTCCTGGGGGTTGGAGGATCCCTGAAGGGATGTTGTGAGGGGGTGATCGGAGGTGTCTGATCCTGATGTCTCTGCAGAAGGAACTACAGGAACCTTGGTCTCTTCTGGCTGGGCTCTCTGATGATGAGCATCGTTGTCTTCCTGCTTGGGAACCTCATAGGTACAGGGTGCGGAGCAGGCCTCCGCTCCATCCCGGCTGCTTCCATGCCCCGTTTGTCCAGCGTGTTTGCTCCCAGGCACTTGCCTGCAGGCAGAGGAGGAGGGTGCTGAGCTGTGGAGGCAAGCAGCAGGTATTGGTCCTGTGCTGTGCCCATCCTGTGCTCTCCTTCCTCAGGGAAATACAGCTCTGACCTCAGCCCTGCCTTCCTGCTCAACCTGCCCTACATCCTCATCCCCATCTGGGCTGGGATGAGGCTCTTCCAGCAGCCCAAGGCCCTGCCGTGCCTCAGCCCTGAGAAGGTGAGCTGGGAGCAGGGGCAGGAGCTCTGTGGGGAGCTGCCCCAGGAGCTGCCCCCCTTATCCCTGTGCCAGAGCCGGACCACAGGCCGTGGGACCAAACCTGGGGTGTTCTCCCTCTCCCAGGTGGCAGAGGAGCAGCGCAAGCGCCTGTACCAGCGGCCCCAGGACATGGGGCTGGTCCTGCTCCTGCTCCTCATTGCTGCGTTCACCTTCTTCAGGGGGATGGTGAGTGCTGGGTCCCTGCATGGGGGTCCCAGAGGGGCTGTGGGG